TATTGCTAATTATATTATATTATATTAGGACCACTGGCCATTAACACTTTTACCAATCACATGCGGATTCATTTGTAATTCAACCAACTCATAATTCTTGATTAACTTAAACTACAAAACTTTAATGCTGTTGATGATTAACAGCTCTTTCAACGTCGTATTTACTCTGTTCAGAAATGGAGTTTTGATAATACAAAAAGTAAGTAAAGCTATCCCTGTAACAGGCCGTGAAGGCTCATAGGCTTGTCAGACGCTGTGGGTCCCACACTATCAAGACAATCGGATCAAAGATGGCGGTAAGGTTGTCAGCCTTACGCGCCAGCCGCAATTTACGCCCCAGGAAAATTATTTAATTAATTCCTGGTACTCATTTCTGTTAGAGGCTGAGTGGACCCCAGGGCCATAGTGTGGCTGGAAGGATTAGGCCAATTGAAAAAATTCAATGACCTCATAGGGACTTGAATCCGTGACCTTAATACTATGAAACTAAATATTAATAAAACTGCAGTTACATCTTTACTCATAAATCTATGAGCATTAACTGTAATTGAAAATTGTGTAACAAATAAGTAACATGCTCCCAGTGTCTTAAAAATCTTGGAATCTTGTTAAATTCTAAGCTTTAATTTCAGTCATTATACTGTTCACAAGGTTTAAAATTGTTGTTTGATTTTTTGCATCATATTTTCCTTTTCGATCTTTGATTGTCTTATGACATTGTACAATAATTTAGCCCTGTATAAACTTAAATACGGTTCTATCGCTTGAAACTCTAGTAAAGTAAAGCTATCCTTGTACCAGGTCGTGAAATCCCATAGGGTTGTGAGACGTTGAGGGTCTCACATTATCTAGACAGTCAGCTCAAAGATGGTGGTAAGGTTGTCAGCCTTACGCACCGGCCACGCTTTACTCCCCAGGCAAATTATTTAATTAATTCCTGGTACTCATTTCTGTTAGAGGCTGAGAGAACCCAAGGGTCATAGTGCGGCTGGAAGGATTAGGTAAATTGAAAAAATCCAATGACCTCATCGGGACTTGAACCTGCGACCTTCCGGCTTGTAGCAGAATGCCTGAAACTCCAGTACATTGACTAATAAACCTAAACTTGAGGGAATTCAAAGAAAATTTGAAGACTTATGCTATAGTAGAATTTCTATTAATTTTGATTAAGTTTTTATTCATTTACATGTTAACTAAACAAGCCAAAGGTCAAAAATAAATTGAACATGATTAGAGGAAAGAGACAATATAAAAAGCAATTTGCATCATTTAAATAATAATACTAAAATTAATTTCATTAACATAAATAAATGTATCATTGAGGAGCGAAAAATTAATATATGTACACTTAGAATGAATACGAACAGTATTTTTTTATTTTAAAAACTATGGCTATTATAAATTATGAAAGCAAGAAACAACAAAAGTTTTAAATATATAAGTAGGTAATAATATGAATTTGATCCATTTATATATTTAAGTCTTTGCACAACAGCCTAAAGGCTAATCATAAAATAACCACTAGAAAAATGGGAATAAACAAATATATTCACGAAAACAAAACAAGACAAAATAAGGCAACTAAGATAATAATACCAATTCCGTTAGTTCAGTGCGCCAACCATTATAGTGTGAGAAAAAAATTAATAAACATACATTCAAATTGCGTGTAATTAATATTTTAGTATGAAGACAGAACCATTGAAGAATATGATTCTGAAAAATATTTCTGGCCCCCAGTGCCTCAATTCTCCTGCAAAGAACATTTCCAACTGAAGCACGTCTTACAGAATGGTAATTATTGATGAGCAGACGGTAAACAACGCGCTTTTATTTATATCCTTTTAATATTATTTACTGAAACATTATATATGGCTATTTGCGGGCATTTATTATAGTAGGCACAAAAACATATTATTCAGATTGAATCTTCCAACGGTCCATTCTTTGTGCTTTATTCCTCTTCAGAACTTTTAATGTCAAACTAAGTTTCCCACCCTTTGTTGATGCTGCTACTTTACGGGTACCTACTGCGTAGCTCTTCAAATTTTGATGCTCACTATCGAGCAAAGGTTAGTCCTTCAGCCAGACGCATTTGTGCAGCAAATATTATCTGCAAATACGTATAGTGATGTTTTTCAACAGAGAGTTCTCTTCGTTGGCTTGCATAATAAAATCCGGCAATAACGTATTTTATATTGTTTAAGGGGTTCAGGCCCCTAATACTAATTATCTTATTTAATTTGTAGTATTATGTCCTTTATGCATTGTATGTGTATGTCCTTTGTGTGTGGCACGCGGTAGCATAGTTGGTTGAGGCACTATGTTACAAGCCGGAAGGTTGCGGGATCGAATCCCGATGAGGTGGATTTTTTCAATTGACCTAATCCTAACAGCCACACTATGCCCTGGGTTCGACTCAGCCTCTAACAGAAACTAGTACCAAGAATTTTCCTGGGAAGGTAAAGGGCGACCGGCGCTTAAGGCTGACAACCTTACCGCCATCTGTGAGCCGATTGTCTAGAAAATGTGGGAGCCCCAACATCTCAGAATCCTATGGGCCTCCACGGCCTGTTGAAGGGGATACCTTCATTTTACTTTACTTTATGTCCTTTGTGTATCATCTAGTCTCATTGTGTCTTCCTTTTCTTCTTCTAGTTCTTACCTGTAACCGGCTTTCAGTTGTTGTCAAGCGCTTCAGTGAATAACCTGTATCCAAATATTGTTAATATATTTATTTATTACGGGAGGTTGGATAGCTCAGTCCGTATAGTGACGGGCTACGAGCTGGAAAGCCGGGGTTCAATTCCGTGCAGGGGCAAGTAATTATCTTCTCCACAACGTCCAGAGGGGCTCTAGGGCTCGCCCAGGCTCTTACCCTGTGGGTACCTGCGACAATTTCCTTGAAGCTAAAGTGGTCGGGGAGTTAAGCTGACAGCTTATTTACATCTAAAACCGAAATTAAAAACGGTATGGCTATTCCTCCACTACCCCATACGTTTTCACTGCATGATGGTTAATTAATTAAGTACATGGACCTTTCTATCTTTTGTCGCTATTTTTACTTATACTTGACTAGAGTATTTAAAGCTTCAAACTTTACATAAAAGGAGGAAAAATACAAGGATATTATTCCTTATTCTAATTCAATTCTGCCTTATTCTTTTGAAAATGTTTATTCTTCGAGTCCTTACGCGAGATATCGGAAATTATTTTCAACTTCAGTTTCGACTCTTCTTGCGAAAATTGTCTTTATGCTAGATGCACTTCAGCTGCTAATATTATCTGCAGCATCAGTCATGTTTTGTAATCCTCATGGTACCGAATGTGCTGATCGGAATGTAACAATTTAGACCTGTGCTCTGTTGGTGCTTTGCTCGAATCTCAGATGGGACACAGCCCTGGTTGATTTTTTTATGGTTTTCTTTACTCCGTCAAAAGGGAAGGAACAGTAGATCACTGTAGGTCGCGGTGCAACGGCCAAGAACACCCACCCCTTATACATTCAATCTTTCATTCAGTACTCCTTCTAGGCCACGACCGCTTCCTTCCAAGGCCTTTCTAATCCATTATTCATTTGTTATCCCATCAATGATACAATATAAATTGATATTGAACGCTCCGTTAAATAACCGCGAAAAGAAAGTGCCATGGGATAATCAGGAAATATAATACGTGTACAAAGAAGAGTTATAATGCTCAGCTTAAGGATATTAATACAAATTAATAGAATTGAAAGGATATTAACTAATCAAGTAAGGCACAATAGATCACTGTGGTCGCGGTGCAAGGGCCAAGAAGGCCCACTCCTTATACATTCAACTAATCCATTACAGTGAAAATCCTAATATTTTTGCAAAATTGTTAAAAGTTTTCTTAAATTTTTGAAAATTTAAAATTAAATATTTATAACAAATTATGACAGGCAGAGGAAGAGAGGCGTTTCCTCTATCAGCTTCATCGAAATCATCAAATCTCAGTAAGCTAGGACGAATGTTATATTTTAGCGTCCTGTTGCACTGATTTAAGTCCATGATTTATTTAATCCGTCTTGCAGTGCATACACTCATTTATCTCCTTCTCTCCCTCGCACTACATGTTTCGGCATAATAATGCCATCTTCAGGTGCTTACTTATCCACGTCAAACCAGTTCATTGCATGCCATGTTCACACATTAAAATAACTAAAATATGTATCTATCATATGCATTGTCAAACGTTAAAAATATTAAAATTGTTCAGGATACCAAATCGCTACGTCGCCCCTCACTACGTCAGTCACGCCCATTCTCCTTTGTTGGAGCACTCCTTCATTATCTTGTGTGTTGTGCTTTTGTTGTGTCGTGCTCCTGCGACTGCGTGTGTTATACTATTGGGCTTCCTGGGTATGTGTGTGTGTTCTGTCTTCGTTTTGAGTGAGTTTGAGTGAGGGAGAGAAGGAGATAAATGAGTGTATGCACTGCAAGACGGATTAAATAAATCATGAAGCTAGGACGAATTGTCCTCGAGAAATAAGAAAATATCTTATTGTGATTTCCAAAATTTTGTGAGCTCTAACATCTCTCTAGAACTTCCGCAGGGGCTCCCTCTACAGTAGGGGCAAAATTTGGTCGAAATATATGAAACTGCTTGGAAATGTATAAAGAATAAACAAACACACTTTTCATTTTAGATAAAAAATGGCTAATAAATGTAAGCTTCGCCGTTATGGTTTGTAGACGATTAATTTTTATTCATTGTTCTGCTTCGTTTAATATTCATAAAAGCTTAAGAGAAGTTAAGTTTCCTTCTAGCAATTACTTTAATAAATATATGGCTACATAGCACTAGAATGTGCTTCAGGTGCAAGTTTAAACATCCATATACAGAACTCACTATAAAAGAACAGAAGGCCATCTGTCAGTATGATCTTCAATTTTCTGCGTTTGCTTCAGTTTCCTTTTAAATGTTACTATATTGAAATTGGCTCTAAACTAATAAGCAATGATGTATCTTTCCAGCGAATGGTTCGTTCCAACCGGGCATGGAACCAAAACGTCAGAGAACGGCTTACACCAGGCATCAGATACTAGAGCTGGAGAAAGAATTCCACTACAACCGCTACCTGACCAGACGGCGGAGAATAGAGATCGCTCACACTCTGGTTCTATCAGAACGGCAGATCAAGATCTGGTTCCAGAACAGACGCATGAAGTGGAAGAAGGACAATAAACTGCCCAACACTAAGAACGTCCGTAGGAAGACAAACCCAGCTGGAGTTACAACAGCGAATAAAAACACCTCCGGCACCACGAAAAGCAACCCAACAACGAGATCGAAAAACAATGGCGACAGTAGAAGACGAGCAAATAGTAACAATACAAACAATCCGAATCCTATTGTTGTTACGAACACTGTTGCTACTGACATAACCAACCATCAGCAACATCACCATTCGCATCACCACCAACAGCACCATCTAGGAACGGCATCGAATAATAACGTGACTGATCAGCAACATTCACATGGTATAGTTACTACAATGCAGTCAACAATGCATCTTAGTTCACCGAGTTTGGTTTTAAGTCAGTTGACTCCATTAACACCGGCTCAAACCTGTGGTCCGGCGCTTCCACCAACAACAATTAAATCTGATTATGGATTAACTGCGTTATAAATGACGCATTTCGAATTATTTACGTTGTATTATTTGAATCAATATGTGAATCAAGTTAGAAATGCAAAATGTTGATTTCAAGCGGAAAATTGTTACCAAAACGTAACTGTGGAAGTGCGAATACAGTTAAGTGCCAAAAATATGTAAAAAAAAAATCAACGCTAAGTGACTATATTATAATTGTGAAGGTAAAATTTTTTTCTTGCTTAAGCATCAAACCAATGAATACATATGAAGAACCGGAGGTAAAAATCCATGTATCTTCGGCTCTGCGCTAGGTGGAGGTGAGTGTCCAGAATCATGCTCCGGCCCTTCTGCCTCCGATATCCATTACCTAGAAGGGAGCATGTATAACTTAGTCCGTATAGTGGTTAGCTACGGAACGGGCGACCCAGGAATCGTGGTTCTATTCCCAACAGGTGGAATTTCTTTTCTTCACAGCTCCCAGATCGAACATGAGGCCCATCCGTTCTCAGAAGTGTAGGTGAGTTCCTTCACCGAAAATAAAGTGGCTAGACCGTGTAGCTGGCTACTTCCTTCTACTGCCGTAGAGATTTGAAAATATATGAAGGCATACTTTCATTTTCCCATATATTTTCATGGCATGATGCTCAATTAAGAAAACGGAAATTCTGCCTTTAATTTTACCCATTGGATAGAATGCTGGTTAGGCCTCGGAGCCTGTCTAGACATAGTTGATAAGAAAAAAAATCCTCTCTCCGTCACGAATGAAATTCTGACTGTTACCTCTGTTAAGATTAATCACAGTGTCACTTTCGGTAGTATAATTGTTCACTCCATACTTCTTACTTTGCTGTCTACTGACAGTATATCATTCATCATCGTCTGTAAGCCGTAAGTGCCAAAACCTGACAACGTTTTGAGTTTCTTTAAATATTATGGCCGAAAAATTAAAATGCACAAGTCGGCATCTTGCTCCTTTTAGAATTTATTTTTAATTGTATCGGGGTTAAAACAACATACTTCCACATACACATATTTTGTTTCCCGATAGATTCTGTGGAATATGAAAAATAAATACGAACTTCGTGGAATATCAACTTGAGGTCGTAATAGATGTTGCTTCGTTATAAACGCAAGTAACAACACAAAAATGAAACAAAAATTCTATAAAATTAATTTGCGAATTATAACTGCAACATCAAAAATTTCTAAAATATAAAATGATTAATTTTCTGGCCATTATCCACCGTCCTTATTATTTAAATAAACGTTTCGGGGAAATGACTATCGCCGTCCCTAAGTAAAATACCTCTTCTTTTGCGTTCGGTCTCTAAAGACAGTCCCTCTTTCCGGAAGATGGAGAGAGAATGTAGTCTCCGAAACGTCTTCAAGTGTAAATTCGGACAATGGGTAGTGTCTAGAAAATCAATCATTCTGTTAATACACCGTCATGATTAACTTTTACATCTTATTTTAAAACATTCATTTTACTGGTCTCTTCATATAACACGTACTGTTTTATTGCTCGTGCCAAAATTAATCTCGTTCTTCAATAAATATATTCAAATGTTAATTAGTTGTTATTTATGTAGACTGAATTATGTATTAATATTTAAATATATTAATATATGCTAAGAATTTTAAAAAATAACTGAAATTAAAATCGTAATTTATTAAAATATTTTAAGACGCTCAAAATACCGGTACTTAGCTGTTTCGAATTTCCACAATTTACTATCGCTTTCTGTATAATAGCCCGAACTATATCATGATGAACCACGCATTTTGTTTTCATTTATCTATATCAGGAAACAGGAATTTCTTTGTTTATGTTAAAATACAGGATATTATGTCGAGACTGTTATATAAGATACCACTGTACATACTTTGGTACGAGACAGGCAAACTACCGTCATTAAAGGCTGCTGATTTACTCAGCTGTATTATACTTTATGCTACATTAACAGGATTAGTACTGTTACCAGTTGATAAGGAGAAAGCTATAGTAAACCTACTTTGGAATTTATGTTTTGATAATTACTTTTATTGCCATTACAACAGAGAATTTAAAATATTTTTAAAAGAAAAACGAAATTATCTGACAATATAAAAAGTCTCTATACATCAAATATGATAAAAACGATTTTTCGTTATTTTCAAAATTGCTTATAAGCTATCTGAATTCGAAATCAGTAATATAGATTTAAAAACGATCAAAATTATATCTACTTAAACAAGGAAGTGAACTAAAATGTCACACTGCAAAATCTTTTAAAAGCTGGAGCTTCTGTGTGTGAAACTGAATTAAGAAAGCTGAAGCAATACTCGTATGTACGAAGCATTCATAAGTTCCTGTTAAAATACAATTGCATGACGATAAATATATACTTAAAATTTTCACTTTGCATAAAGCGATAAATGCTTACACACATATAGATATACATACAAGCAAATCTTTCTCATATATTCACATGCATAAGTTCATATGCATAGAAAATACGTACATATATGCACACATTCCTGTTAAATTAATATACACATGTATTCAAAAAATTATGTTGTGTTATGTTACGCTGCTGTCTTTAACTGGACCGCGTACCCTCGAACGGAAAGAAGAAATTTTGCCTCTAGAGGCTAAGAAATACCTCAATTGCGAATTTAGACTTTTCCGCTATGGCTATGTTACACATATATGAGGTCGTCCGATATCGATAAGAAATAAGCCTAATTATACAGTAAGGATAGCGCATTTCCATCATATTGAAACTTTGGAGTGTGATTAGTTCCCATGGAAATTTAATAGATTCTTTATGTATTTCATAGAGACCTGTATATACACGTAGATAGGCTTGGGGGTTCGAATTCCTCCCATTAGTATCTAGTGCGGACACCGACTGAAACAATTTGGCCGTTAAAATAAAATTTTGTTTGCGAAGGAACCGACTACCGCAAGAGCTAAACTTATTTAATGACCTAAGTGTTATAGCACAGTTTTAAATCCATTGAACCCTGAAATTATCGCTTTTCCCCGATTTTATAGCAAGTGTCACGTAACTTCGAACAAGGCCAAGACTAACCTTGAATGCGCAGAAGAAGAATTTCAGACAAGGGGGTGGAGGATGTGAGAAGTGACAGGCGGCCAGTGGAAGAACGAGTGTTAAGAAACTCCTCCCACCACAAGCTATGCGCGGGTTTTGACTAGGAATGCGGGCCTGGTTCGAAGTTACGTGACACTGTCTATAAGTTGCCCTCGATTTTAGATGCGTCTCTTGTACAACAGTGGGTTGGGAGGAAGAAAGGACACTATCAATTGTAAGATGCAACCTTAATTTTTAAGGCTCAATATAGGTGTAACGATGAAAGCTGACCGATCTAAATTTTTCGAAAAGTATATATATTTTTTCCTTGGCACTACAGCCTCAGTCGGCGTAGGCCTACCTCCATGAACTTCTCCGTTCACTTCGGTTTGTCTAGATCTTACACATTCGGTAGGACTACTTGGGCGGGTGATCAGTTCGTCGCAAGGCCTTTACCTGTACACAAACACAGAAAAACGCACACACACAAACTAAACATCCATGTGCTGAATGGGATTCGAACCCACGATCCAGGTTTCCAAGCGAGCGAAGACAGTACATGTCAAAGTATATGTTTACACCATGATATTTTCCGTCTCCATGTAACGACATTTCTAAAACGGAACCACATGAAAATACTTTCAGAATGTCATTCGTTGCTATCTTCGTGTTTACTGTTCCGTGACTAAAGTTATGGTCATGGAGATCTTCCTTATGCTTTAGTCATGCAATATAATTTATCGACATACATTCATAGACGCGTCTTAATTTCAGAAAGAAATTAAATATGAAAATGATATATCTTACAACCAAGGAAAAACAAAAATTCGTGGATTATTTGCAAATTAAAATATAAAGCAGGGACTGTACCGCAAAATAATATTACTCAAAATTTTGATATTACGATCTTATACGTTGTAACTCCGTGTACTTTCATAGAAGTCCGCAGATGTTTCGGAAGAGCTTATCGCCTCCATCTTCAGGTACGAAGAGTCTACTTTTCTTACTATTCGACCTCGAAGGTAGAGACTGTACGTCCCTACAAACTATCCGTTGACTTCCGCCAGACTACAGGACGCTACAACCAACGAAATGATACCTCTCATGCGCACCGCTATGAGAAATTCAAATCTGACATTGACAGAATTTTGTTTCCCGCCCAACAGCAGTCTCTAATACCTCTGGTAGATGGGGGAAGCATTATAGATACCTCTCAGCTAGTAGAGCCGGTCTCGCTGGCTGGGCGGGACTGATGGTAAGCACCAATACCGGTAGGATATAGAGACTGGTAGAAATCATAGAGGGAAGCACAATGGACCAATACAGGTCTAAGTGCATGGGGAAACCCACCCTCTCCAACAACTAATTAACTAGACAGAATTTTAACAAGATATTAATATTATTTTCAGTTAAAACCACAAAGTTACACGAACGTGTTTTCTATCTCTACATACCTGAAATTGTGCTTAATGCAAATAATAGTTACAGAGCGTAAAATAATTTTTAAAACATAGTTTAATGCTACGGTATTATTCTCCGGCCTACAGTGTATGGCAAATTATATTGGAGAATTATGTATAAAAATTGAAATACCTTAAACGTACCGAGAATATTATCACATAAATATAACAAACACAATTTTGCAATAAGTGGAAGTACAGTTGTAATTATATAAATATAAATCTAAAAACCTGACTGCTGTATACTTATAATCATTGCATCTGTCTGTCGGCAATGAAAATATAAAACAGTTCGCCGATGCATGTTTAAATATGGCCTATACATAAGGACGTTCAATTCACAAGCACACATTTCCTCTCGCCCCCCTAACACTTGACGCTCATGCTCACAAAACTTTCGTATAGATGAACTCAGATTTCCTTGCTCTGCCTTTGTTCTTAAAATTAAATAAGTAAAAATGGCGATTCGACATAGCAGTACTGTGAAAGATCTATTATTATTATTATTATTATTATTATTATTATTATTATTATTATTACTGAGGATCCAATTTAATTTGTTTTTAGATCTCTGTAATGTAGCTTAAAATTCCTAATTTGTAAAGTGCCTATGAACTTGCACTATTTTGAAACAATTAATTATAATTCTAAAAGACATACTTTTCAAGTATCATATATTATTAGACACATAACATACCATCTCGTTTCATTAATCTAAGAGGAAGATTTAAGATTGTGTAAATAAAGTACAATATATTTTTCCCATCGATACCTTATTCTCTAATTCGATTTGCCACAGTATATACGGAAATGTTATGTAAAGAGGTTACAAATGCTGACTAAATTATCCGCTATGTCTTCGAGTTTGCTCAGAAATACTAAAGACGAAATGGCAATGCAACTTTTCTCAATTTATTTACTGGTCTATAATCTGTGGGACTGCTACACCATGGAACACGGGATATACATACTGTAGAAAAACATAAACACTTCTGGAACTGGGTCCACTCGGCCTCATGAGGATAATTGAGGTGCTATTTCAAAGAAATAGCGGCTCCGGTCTAGAAAATCGAAATTAACGTCCGTGGGGATTCGTTGCGTTGACCACGCTACACACACTACCCGCAAAATGTTGGCACTAAACTTCGTTTACAAGCGGCGGTCGCTCGGTCGGTATAGTTCGCTGGCGGACTAAAACCAGGGAGTTTGTTTTTTCTGATTTTTATTATTTATTGTCACGTGTATTAGTGACTAGAGACGGGGTTCGGATTGGGAATTGGTTTATCAAAAACTCACAGCATGTAACTACATCTTACAGTCTCAAGTATGCTGTATCTATAGTATATATATTTTTCGCTTATTGGTGGGGTGGAGTCCAGCTGGGTCCACTTGGCACGTCGGCCACTGATTGGCCTATTGTAGCCTGCCCCGGGTGATTATGATGATGGAGAATTTGGTGGAATGAAGATTGGCAGGGGAAACCGAAGTACTCGGAGAAAACCCGCCCCAGTGTCACTTTGTTCACCGCAAATCCAATTTGAACAGACCCCGGGATCGAACCCGGGCCGCCGCCGTGATAAGCCAGCGTCTAACCACTTAAGCTATGGCACGGCCATAGTATATATAACGTCGCCCACTAATTCTTCTAATTCTTATTCTGGCCATACTGTTGTTCCCTTTCAACATCGGAACTCAAGTGAATTCAATTCCAAGTAAAAGTCAAAGTCACGTTGCGACTGACGGTCGGTCAGTCAGTCAGTCAGTCAGTCCGTCAGTCAGTACGTCTAGGTGTCGAGCCCTATCTGGGGCTCATGACCAGATATTTATGACTGTTTGACAAATTACAGTCTTGTTTTGGTGTGGCGCCCTCTCTGACCAGAGGACGGGTCTGTCTTTTTTACATGCTGCTGGCCCTTGCCAGCGCAGTTTTTCTTGGGTCCGAGTCCCTTGGTACTCGCGACCATATTTTACTGTCTCAGATTTGAGACTTCCCTTTTTGTCGCCTCCTACGACTCACAGGGTCACGGTGGAGGTATTCGACCCCGCCTCCACACGGGGTAAGTCAGTTCCCATTCCCGTAATCTGAGAGAGAACTAGCCTATTTTTAAATAATCTTCGCATAATATTTTCTAATGATTACTGATACGCGTACTAGGAAACTCCTTTATAAGATGCACAGGTGATGGTACTGTACAATGCGCGCGCATACAATTAAAACTTCTTAATACAGAGCAGTCAACTTGGGGTACGAGGTACGCTATTAGGTTTAGTGCGCATCATAATATTACATTGCACCCATTTTTAAAAATGGCAGTGAATTCTAGCAGCAGATAGTTTAAAAAATTGCTAATTATTTTTTTTATTTTTCTAACTGATTTCACTCAGTTCAAAACAAATAGGATATGAAATGAATATGATTTCTTAATCATATTCATTATACATATAACCTAGGAATTTTTAGAGGTCGCCTTTTCAAGACCGTTGATCTGGCAACACAGTTTGACGGCCTCTTTGAGATTCGACTAGCTACATTTTTTTCATGGCTCTTCCAGCCTATTCAGGGCCCAAGGTCTCTCATTCAGTTCCGTAATCATTTATCACAGACTGTAGGACTCCTCAGACGCGAGATCAGCCCGACACAAGGCCGCTACCTAAACAGAACAACACAAAACAGAATAAGCGGATACACACTCCACATATTCGTGACCTGAGTGGGATTTGAAACCCGATCCCAGCTTCCGATAGAGCGAAGACAGTTCATGCCTTAGACCGGGCGACTACTGTGACCGGCCAGGCTAACTACTATCGACATGAATATACAAACATGCATTTGCTATTCTAAAAGAGAACGCTTATACGCAGTGCTCACATTGAAAGCAATTCCGAGTGTGTGCTTTCAGCGCTTCTTCAGGAGTAAATTAACTTATTTCTTTAAATGCTGGTTTCTAATGTTAACATTCTAAACATATATTCTGGACATTGTAGATGCAGTCCTTAGTTTAGTGTTTCCTTCATAATTCTGAATGCTGCAGTGTAGACATTTGTTTCGCTGCTATGAGGAAGCAGTATCTCTATAACACGGCTAGCTCGATGGTTTGACGTTAGATAACCTTGGCTTCATACATGACGATGTTCGGGTCTCATATACCATCTGTCATCATTGGACATAAGTGCGCATATATGCCCTACATACGTGCATATATATACACATATATATAAGCCTATGTACAATATATTCATAACTGAATATTATCCCATTCGATATAATTTAAGAGTCTCTCGAAATTATGTATTTTTTTTTAAATAATCTGTAAATATATGTTTATTTACGCTAATAAGAGAATGTAAAGAAACTCCGGTAATAATTTACACTATCTACATGTAACAGAAGCTACCAGTTTTATCTACAGAAATATTGAACGTAGTGTACAAATGGATTTGGCTGGAATTAAACTCAAAGTAATTTAAAAAGCAATATGGTGCAATTAACTGAAAAATATTCGGCTCTGAATTAAGTCAGAGATGGCCAATTCGTATCTGAGTAATTTGCGCATGTACTTTAAGAGCA